GAGTAATTCATGCAGGCGACATATTTGACATTAATAAATGACAGACGGACCCTTCCCATTTCCAAGGGGTTGGAACTTTCAAGCGGTTCTCACACTGAGACCTTTCTTCCAAAGGGTTTTTCTCAAATAGGAAATACAGTTGAATCCACGCATTTCAGGGACATAGAGACTAACAGTCTCCTCTGTGCTGAATGAGCTCTTCTTCCCAGCTTCTTTTTATTTTCTCATTAACTTTTTTTTTTTTTTTTTTAAAACCTGTGTTTGGGAACATCTAAGGTTTTTTTAAAGTGTACTTGAGATTGGTCATTTCAAGAATCAAGTTTTGATTGGGAGACTGAGTTGTTTCCCTATTTTCCTGGCATACAGCAAAATCTTAGTCTTGCTTTGGAAGCTTTCAGTTTTCATTCCCATGAGCGGTCGTTGCATTTCATTCTATCGAAGCAATTTGGTTAGCACTTTGTTTTGGCATCAGAAAACAGTCTATGGGGTAGCCATCAAAATCAAGACAACACGAGTTTTTATTCTTTGTCCACTAAGAAGTTGTATGTCTCAGGCTTGGGACTTCAATCCCAGGCATTCTTATTTCGGGATTTTAGCCCATTCTCCTTGATGTATTTTTCCTTATTTAGCATCCATAAAGTGCTTTGAGATTTCATTTAACGTTGATTATTCAGAGGTATTATATCTTTCTGAAGAAACAAGATTTAAAAAAAAAGATTTTTTTCTTGGCCAGTATGATTTATACTTTGTATAAAGTTAACCTGAGTATACTGTACTAAGTTTTTATTTAAGTTGAAAATAAATGAGAATATCAAATCTTATTCAAAGTGGCCAGGCAGACACATTCAATCCCAGCATTCAGGAGAGAGACAGGAGGATGCTTGCAAGTTTAAGTGAAGCCTTGCCTGCATAGTCACTTTGAGGCCAGCCAAAAAACAAAGTAGACTCAAAAAAATCAACCAACCAACCAAAAAAAAAAAAAAAAAAAAAACAACAACAACCCCCTAAAACAAATAAAAACTAAATCCAAAACTCAAAACTTAATTTTTGGAATGCTTAATATGTTTCTTTTTCTTTTTATTATTTATCTTATTATTTATTTTTTAGTTTTTCTTTAATCTTTTTACTTTTTGAAAAAGTTTTAAAACATATTCTAATCATAGGTTATACTGAGTTATGACATTGTGACATTTCCCGCAATGTCCCTCTCTTGTCTTCTCCCTCCCATTCCTGCTGACCCTCTCCCTTCTACTGCTGACCCTCTCCCTTCTACTTTCACATCTTTTTTTTTCTTTGTTTTAAATTGTCAACCAATGTGTTTCACTAGGGTCGCTTATAGGAGCATAAGTGAATAAGTAAGAGGATTTTTTTTTTTTACAAGAGCATAGGCAACTTACTACCGGCTACATCATAGAAGAAATTCCAGCTACCATTAATTGTCAACGGATTTACTAGGAGGGCTGAGGCCTTATGAACCTCTTCCCCCTCCATGATAGGCCCAGTCTTGTGCATGACTGGTTCAGGTAATGACAGCTACTGAAGGTTCAAGAGTGTAGCTGTCATGTCATGCCTGGGACGCAGCATTGCACGTCACTCCACTTTTCCTGGCCCGTACATTCTTTACCCCGTCCTTCATTGATGTTCCATGAACCTTGGAAGGTTATATAGATGTCCCATTTAGGGCTGACCTTTCAAGAGCTGTTTATGCTCAGCGTTTAGATCAGTTATGAGTCTCTGCAACAACTGCAGAAAGAAACTCCTCTTACCAAAGCTCTCAGCACCACTAATTCATAGGCATAAACAGAAACATCTAGAAGGCAATTTTATGGGCACATAATGTCAATTTAGCAAAACAACAATAGCGGCTTTCCCACTAGGGCCTATGTTCTCCCCAGCCAGGGGCCTTTTACCGAGTTTATAGTGCCAGTTGTAAGTTCACTGCTGTGGAACAGGCCTCCATTTCAATCAGGAAATTGCTGGTTGCTCTCCAGGTAGTCATACACTAATGGGCATTGCCTGGCAGCTTACTGGTACTCACAGTGGTTGTACCTGTAGCTCTGGGTGCTTGGATGGTTGGTGCAGGATGCTAGCTTGTAGCTATAGGTTCAAGAACAGCCTGGCAACATACTGGGAGGGAGTCTTGTAAGGAAAAGGGGAAAGCTTGTTTAAAGTGTCCTTCCACTAGATCTCTGAATTCATCAGACAGGAAAGAGAGACACAGAATGCAAGTTTTTTTTTTCTTTTCTTTTCTGCTTTTGTTAATCTAGAGGCAATGGATGCATTAAAGAAATTTAGGTGCTGAAAAGAAAGCCCAGCAATTAAAGGTACTTGATGTTTTTGGGGACCAAGATTCCTTCCATCAGTTGTATCAGGCAGCTTGCAACTGCCTATAACTTCAGCTTCAGGGGATCAAATGCCCTCATCTGGCCTCCATAGGAATCTCTGTGTGCACTCAAGCATTCACACACACACACACACACACACACACACACACACACACACACACACACACCCTTCACAAAGAAATTTTAAAAACTTCTTTAGCATTCTGTAGAGCCAGGGGAGTCTCTAGAGCACCCAGTTTCCAGACCAGCATGCTAGAGAATGAACATACCTCAGGGATCCAGCCCAACCCATCAACCCCATTGGAAGAGGCTTGTCTACAGTCTCATAACTTATTCTTTGGTACAACTTGGAGTTGATTCCAAATTTATTATGCTTCATGTTACTGCTATAGCTTAGTCTTTGGACTTAAGAACCAAAGTCTTAGTAAGCCATCATCTGAAACATAGGGGAACTTATTGAAACCATACCAAAATCTCTCCCAGGGCTGTGGTCACTAAGTATCATGATGGAATAGATCTGGAGCCTGCCAAGTCTGTAAGTCAAGATGGCTCATTCTACATCTCCGGCTTCCAACCAAGACAACCAGGTGCCAGTCAGAGGGGCAGCTTTGTTTTTGAAATGTTTATAATTTTACCATAAGACTGAATTTTCAAGTGAGTTTATGTAAGTGCCAATGCTGAGCCCCATCCTAGAGCTTGTAGATCATTCTGGGGTAAATCTCAGGAAATTAACTCTCTAGCTGGTTGCCAAGTGATTTGGGAACATCATGCTTTGACAAGTGCTATTGAAAAGCATCCTGGATTCTAGTCTCTTCAGACAGGACATGCCCTTTCTGTTCATCTTCACCTGTCTCTGTATCTGGCCTGTCTGAGGGTGGGAGCCCTGCTTCAGGCTGCAAGTCCTGCAATGGTCCTTCCGTCAGCCAGCTTCCTCTTTCTGCTCACAACAGGCCCAGGATGACTTCTCAGACTGGAGTCCCCAGTGCCTCACAAGTTCTCATATCTCAGGAAGCTAGGATCTTGAAAACATGGTTGTAGAAACAGGTCAGGCAACTCAATCTCATGATGTCTGCTTGGAAGACAGATGTCTGACAAGATGCCAGCATCATATATAGTAGAAAGATCCATAGGCCAGCATATCTTAATTAAAATTTAAATAGTTATTTGTCACATGCAAATACACATTGTGATTGTGTAAAATGATGGTCCCAAATAGTTTTCTTTCTCTTTCATTTCCCTCCCCACCTCATGCTGAGGCTCCATTCTAGAGCGTGTGCGGTGCTAGACGGTGCTCTACCATTGAGTGTCTTCAATTTTTGCAGCGCCTATCTAACAGAGCACCTACTAGGCATGAAGCATTGTTCTAGAGCTTAGAAAATTAGAGGTGACAAAGAAAACACACTATCTGTTCTAATTTTACATTCTAGTGGGATAAAGACACAATTGGTAAGCAGTGCAATGTATTGGTATGTTTGTTAGTGCTGCAGAGTACTGGCTGTTTGTTCAGGATGTTTAGCTAGGAATCTGAATGTGCAAGTGGATAAAAATGCCATTCTGAGATGTAGTGTGTTAGCTGTCATCTCGATGAAGAATGGGAGCCATCCCCAGAAAGTGGGTGGAGAGAATGGCTTGTGCAAAAGCTCTGAGCATAGCATATTGAATGAAGTGCAAGATGTCTGCTACCATGGTACTGTGGACAACCATGAAGGACATGACCTAAATCAAGACAGAGATGAGCCTGGGGAGTACTCCCACAAACAGATCCCGACAAAGACATAAGAGATGAGAAACTGCAAAGGAGCCTTCACACGGGAATGACAGGAACTGATTTTTGTTGGAAAAATATCACTCTAGAGTATGAATTGTAGGGGGGCAAAGCAATGGTCTAGACCACTACTGCAGTTGTCCATGGATGGTGGCTTTAGTAGTGACATGTATCTTAGATGTGGATGACTTGAGAGAGGTTTAATAAGGAAAGTTACTGGGTGTGATGGGTTAATAGGTGTGATATTGTTGGCAATATCAAGACTTGCCTCCGGGAAGACGGGCCTCTGGCCATGCCTTTGGGGTATTATCTGATTATATTTGTGTGGGGGCTATTCCCTTAATAGGAAATCCTGGAGAGGAGAAATTGAGCCAAGCACTAGCATGCGTGCATTCATCAGTAGCTCTCTATTTGACTGTACCTGTGATGTGACCAGCTCCTTCAAGCTCCTGCTGCTGTAAGTCCCCCAATGTGATGAACTAGAAACTGAACTGTGAACCTGAACAAACCTGTTATCCCTTAAGTTGCTTTTCTCAGAGTATTTTTATCACAGCAACTTAGAAGAAGTTAAGACCACAGGGTTTAGTGGTGGGTTCAATCTGAGATATGAGTTGGGTAA